GAATTACTAGACTCTATTAAGGGTGCATCAAGCTAACCTTTTTTTTTCCAACCGCTCCTATAAAACCTAATCTGTTTTCTTTCCAATTTTTTTTTAAAGGTGTTTCTAACAAAACCAAGTTGAATCTGTTTTTACTCCAAAAAAATAAATATTTGGTTCGTTAACAAAGTTTTACTTTCAAGAAAAACCGAAAAAATTAAACCAATTATAACTGAAATCAGTTTAAAAAGAAAATGAGTTTTTTTTTAAACCAAAACCGGTTCAAAGTATTACTCCGTTCGGCCATTCTCACAAGCCAACGACCATTTCTTCTTCAATTTGAAAATTACACATTTTGATTCTTTGTTTTTCCAAATCTATTTTTATCGTTTTAAAGACATTGTTTCCTATGTAAATTTACAAATACATCCCGTAAAATCTCCTAGCATTTGAAGAATGTACTCCTTTTATATTTGTGTTATGAGTTCTCATATTGCAAGTCAACCACGAATATATATATATATATATATATATATATATATATATATATATATATATATATATATATATATATATATATATATATATTATATATATATATTTTTGAACCCTAATGCAAATCAAAGAAGTCTTTATTAAACTATCAAAACTATTTAATTCTCATAAATCATCAAAATGTAACATTTGACCAAATCTAAACATTTATCTTTTTAGTTGTCCTCGTGTATGAATTAAGAGAATTCAAATATTCCTCTTGCAACAAAAAAATCATACTAAAACACTATGCATCTGACAACCGGTATCTAAACATTATTAGAAACCTCATGTCTAACCTCTATATGATCTGAATCAGAATCCAAAAACTGAAACAAAATTTGCGATGAAGGAACAGCTTCAGTACGACAAACAGGGCAAGTCAAATGAGAATAAAGCCACATATCAATACAAGACACATGAAAAGAGTGTAAACACTCTGGTAAAGTACGTAGCTCCTCATTCTCCTCAAATTCACACAAACAAATCGAACATAAGGCTTCATCATCATCACCTTCTTTTGCACCTACTACTCGTGACCCCTTTTGATGCTTGTGGGCTGGGATGAGCAACACCACTGAATTCTCCAAACTGTATTCGTTATCCAGATGATGGTTTTGTTGATGCACATGGTGTTGTGGGATACGATTTCGTCTACGATCATAGCACCAACTAACCGTGACAAAGTGGTAGATTGCAACCAGAACAGCTACCAATGAAATGATGACCAAGAGGGAGATCAGTTTGAGTGTCAATGAGTTATCTTCCATGGTGCATTATTTGGAAAATTATGTGGAAATAATGGAGGATTTTGAAGGTGGTATAATATCATATATCGAATCTTGATTAGAATTGCGGACATTACTATGGAGCCATTTGTCTCATTTAATGATGGTCTTATCGGGCATCTTTTTAAGTCTTTGACACAATCAACTCATCTTCTTAGACTCTTGTTTTGTTGAAAATTAAATATAAACACCATTAAGTATAAGTTATTCATCTTTTGGACTCTTATGTTTGTCTTTTTGTTATAAATAAAACATTGTTTTTACATAAAATAGATTAAAATATCAACAATGAATGATTACAATGTAAAATATGATATATGATAGTTTTTTATTTATAATTTTGTTTTACATAAAATATATTAAAATATCAAAATGAATGATTACATTAAGTTATTATTGTTTTTTTTTCATTATATATAATGTAAATATTAATTGTTTGGTTATAATTTTATTATTTGAATTTATTTTAAAGTTCTTTTCAATTTAAGTTACTAACCATGTCATTTTTAAAAAAGTAAAATTCTTACTATGAAAATATGTAGATTTAAATTATATTGGTTATTAAATAAATGGTCATTTGTTATTTGTAAAATTTAAACACGGGATAAATTAAATAATCAATTATTTACATTCCAACAATAAATTCAATTTTGAAACTGTTTTTAAATAAAGATGAATGCAATTATGGATACAAATTGGTTAATGTTAAAAATTAAACAAAATAGCATAATAATAAGGATCTTAATAGACATTACCAGATTATATATATGTAAATGAGGACCAAAATTTTAATGATGAAGCAAAAAACTAAGACATCATTGTATTTTGGGAAAATGGTTTTGGTAAACATCTTAACTAGAGAAAAAAAAAACAATTTTGACATTTTACCACATGTTAGATTCAAAAACTAATAGTAGTAAAATAAAATTCATTCCGTATATTCCAATAAAACAAATGAAACACAAAGTTGAGGGGAGATTGAAGTATACAAACATGGTTGTTGAAGGGAGATTGAAGTATACAAACATGGTTTATACCTACAAATATGGGTATCAGGCATTCAATAGAAAACTCATTCCTCCAAAAGGATGAACATCACCAGCAGGTCAGCAGAAACCATTGTGCCAAATAAGGCTGGCTCCAGACAAAATCGATACTCTTTTCTCATATCGGTTTGCTAGAATGTTTACATTTTTGTAACATATTTCTCTTCCTTTTCTACGAAAAAATCCATCAGATGATATAAACAATAATAGATTGATCGATTGGGATTCAACATCCAACTTGTGATTATCACTTTATTTCCGTCTCATTAATTTATCGTTTTATGCATCCGATTAGGAATTAGAAACAAGGACTAGGCCTAATAATTGGTCTGTTAGTCTATTAATAGTAATAAGGTATCTGACGAGAAAATTTTGTTGCCCTACCAAGCTAACCCATAGCTTGGTCCGACCATGGATGTAAAATCATCATGAGTCACGACGGAGCTCCAAGCTCAAGACATGCTCCTGGAGTTGTAATTAATCGCCTCTAACAACGTCAAGGTCATAAACTCAAAGTTGAGAAGTTTCATCATATTTGACTGAGTGTTCACGAATCACGACTATGAGGCTATGGATGTAACTCGTCGTGTCTCATTACTATTAAGTGGGATAAATTCATGCATAGTAAAATAAATTGTTAATAATTTGAAATCTTATTGTGTTGTATCATCCAAAATGCTCTCTAGTGGTTGAGAAGTGAATATGATTAGTGTTCTGCGATTGACCTTCCATTTGAATCTTGAGACATGTTGACGTTGCTGAGATGAGATGGTAAGGTTTACCATTTCTTTTTTGTGTTTTAATAGGTGTGCTTTCTCAACATCCCACACAACATGCATGTGTTAGCATGTACATTGTTGGTAAAAAAATCCTTATATGAAGTCGTTATTAATGAAAACAAAATTGTACTCGTTAAAACAAATTTACTTAATTTATAGTTGTAAACTAAAAACAAAGCTAATTACTTATCTATGTGTTGTACCAATCATCGAAAAGACTCTCATAAGAGATGGCCAACTCCATCTTGGGATGTTACGTGTGCAAGATCTTTAAGGAGACATCCTTTTGATTTTCTAATAGAAATGAAGGAACACATGCATCCACCATGGCGTCCAATAACAGTGGGATTGGTATATTCTTGGGATGTTACGTGTGCAAGTTCTAAATTTTTGTTTATCATAAATTTGAATCCAGTGGCTTGTGCATATTCTTGCATTTTAATTTTGTTGCCGTTCTTTCTTTTATATATATATATATATATATATATATATATATATATATATATATATATATATATATATATATATAAAAGTGGGTTCAATCTACTCTAATAAATGAAAAGAACTTTGCCACATATCCTTCTCTCATAAGATTAGTCACATGTCATTTTATCATAATTTGAAATATATTTATTTTCCACTTGTCATTATTTTAATTTCATTTCCAATATACCATTGATTTACTTTCCATAAATTAAACATACCATAATGATTATCAAATTTTAAATTTCAAATTCAATTCCAAATAAATTTACAGTTTAAACTTTTATGTTTAATATTTTGTTATAATTAACCCGTTTAGTACACACTAAACTCATAATTTTAATTAATTTATTATTTGTATATTTTTTTCTCATAATTTTCACTTATTTCAATTTCAAATTCAAATAAAATTTCTATTTAATCGTTCGTACTTAACATTTTGTTTTAATTAGCGCGTATATTATACGGGTCTCACAACTAGTTGAGAGAATAAAAAAGGTTGACAATGGAGGAATCATTCTCAGTCACTCATTTAATCTAAGCATAAAAAGACACGGTGACAAACTTGTAAATATGCTAATAACCTTCAATCTCAAATACGTTACTATAGAGAATTCGATAACAGTTCGTTCATCATCATAATTTTTCCTCCAACATTCAATAACCATCCATATTTCTTCAACTAAACTGGAATTTCTTTGCTGTTCATAAAATTGGAATCGAAGTTCTGGACTCGTAGTCACAGTCGACATTGAAGGACCCAGAATCGGTACTCACAGGTTCCCAATCGGATTTTCGAAAATCAAAATCAAAATGAGAAATCGATCAGACATAGGATTTCGCAACCGAAGTCAAAATCGGAATTATATGATGATTTGGAATTGATAACTTGATGTTTTTAACATTTTAAAAATAGTTAACTTGTATGCACTCCAACTGTTTGATGAAATGCATAAACTAAATTACCACGTTATATTCACATATGAATATGTTTTCTCACCTGAATCAGTATATGATTATTAAAAACACAAAACAAATATACAAGTCTGTATGTTAAACTATGCTAATCGTTACCTTAATATTCACATAGAAGCAACTTACTTCCATTTATATTGACCCATGTTCAAATCCTGGCACCACTCAGCCCTTGTGACCATTGAGGTTCGCCTACAGTGACTCCAGGGCATAGGGCAAAGCTTTATGTTTGCAGCGGGGGATTAGTCGGTGCGCGAAAGCTAGCCCGGAAACCCTCGTTAGGGAAGTTCCCTTTCCAAAAAAAAAACTTACTTCCATTTATTAGTGGATTATAACTTACTACTTTCATTAATTTCTATTTAACATTGTACTTTTTAATGTTTAGTGTTACAGTAGTAAGAAATAGTATAATTATATAATAAACAAACGAATGAAAGTAAGTTGTTATTTCTTGTATTTAACAAAAATTATATGCTAAAAATAACAACTTACTTCCATTTGTTACCAAGAAATATCAAGTTACTTTCATTTCTTCAGAGAGGTCAAGTACACTCTCGTATTTAACCTTGGTTCTTGAGACTAATCGGTAGGAAAAACTCAAGTAAGTCCTCTAAAATTCGATCCCATTATCGGTGAGATGCTAGTAATAGTGCACCATGCAGATAATTATTGAGCCTAAATAACCTTTGACTTTACATTTATCCCCTTTCACTAAAACGTCTTTAACCATATTCAACTTTACGATTATGCCTTTGTCCCCGATTGAACCTTCGGTATTCCATTTATACCCCTCTCTCTAAAACATCTGTAACATCCAATTTTTTTCAAAACAATTTTATACATTTTCCAAAACATACTTTCATTCATAAATATTATAAAAATGTCTTTGTATCATATAACATCCATAAAAACACAACCCAAGATCATAATACATAAAAACTCATCGCGTGTGTACTGATCATGCCAACGCCTTCCCACGGTCCTCACTGGTACCTGAAACACATAACACAACACTGTAAGCATAAATGCTTAGTGAGTTCCCCAAAATACCACATATAACACATATGAGCCACTCGAGGCTATAACTCTGTGGACCCCCAGGTCCTAACTCTGTGGACCCTCTGGTCCTAACTCTGTGAACCTTCCGGTTCTAACTCTGTAAACTATGAATCATACATAGCATAAATCACATAGACATAATGCAGTGTATCACATCATATAATATACATACAAAATACTCTGTCACATAACTCTAATTACCACTCAAGGTAAGGTATCGTGAGAAGACTCACCTCGGGTAACTCGGTAATCTCGTATGTAACGACCCAAAAATCAAGGGTAAAAATTTCATTTTTAATATAACCCAAAAATAGTTATCACTTATTCCAAACATTTCAAATCATCATTAAGTAAAACATTTATCAGAGTTCATCCCAGAATCATTTATTGCGGAAATCATAGGTGTGTGCACTGCGATCAATCCGAGCCTTTCCTTTCCAAAACGATGATACCTAAAACAATAAACAAAACTTGTAAGCACGAAGCTTAGTGAGTTTCCCAGAGCATACCACACACCACACATACACATATCATAGTAATAGGTCACATAGGTCATGCATACAAAGAACCAACAAGAATGCCATGGGCTACCACACATGGACTTTACCTAGGACTGCCATGGGCTACCCCACATGGTCTT